GTTCTGACATCTTGTTGTCTAAAAGCAGCATGTATCAGTTCATGTTCTGACATCTTGTTGTCTAAAGCAGCATGTATCAGTTCATGTTCTGACACATCTTGTTGTCTAAAGCAGCATGTATCAGTTCATGTTCTCCACATCTTGTTGTCTAAAGCAGCATGTATCAGTTCATGTTCTGCACATCTTGTTGTCTAAAGCAGCATGTATCAGTTCATGTTCTGACATCTTGTTGTCTAAAGCAGCATGTATCAGTTCATGTTCTGACATCTTGTTGTCTAAAGCAGCATGTATCAGTTCATGTTCTGACATCTTGTTGTCTAAAGCAGCATGTATCAGTTCATGTTCTGCACATCTTGTTGTCTAAAGCAGCATGTATCAGTTCATGTTCTGACATCTTGTTGTCTAAAGCAGCATGTATCAGTTCATGTTCTGACATCTTGTTGTCTAAAGCAGCATGTATCAGTTCATGTTCTGCACATCTTGTTGTCTAAAGCAGCATGTATCAGTTCATGTTCTGCACATCTTGTTGTCTAAAGCAGCATGTATCAGTTCATGTTCTGCACATCTTGTTGTCTAAAGCAGCATGTATCAGTTCATGTTCTGACATCTTGTTGTCTAAAGCAGCATGTATCAGTTCATGTTCTGACATCTTGTTGTCTAAAGCAGCATGTATCAGTTCATGTTCTGCACATCTTGTTGTCTAAAGCAGCATGTATCAGTTCATGTTCTGCACATCTTGTTGTCTAAAGCAGCATGTATCAGTTCATGTTCTGCACATCTTGTTGTCTAAAGCAGCATGTATCAGTTCATGTTCTGCACATCTTGTTGTCTAAAGCAGCATGTATCAGTTCATGTTCTGCACATCTTGTTGTCTAAAGCAGCATGTATCAGTTCATGTTCTCTACATCTTGTTGTCTAAAGCAGCATGTATCAGTTCATGTTCTGCACATCTTGTTGTCTAAAGCAGCATGTATCAGTTCATGTTCTGCACATCTTGTTGTCTAAAGCAGCATGTATTAGTTCATGTTCTGCACATCTTGTTGTCTAAAGCAGCATGTATCAGTTCATGTTCTGACATCTTGTTGTCTAAAGCAGCATGTATCAGTTCATGTTCTGACATCTTGTTGTCTAAAGCAGCATGTATCAGTTCATGTTCTCCACATCTTGTTGTCTAAAGCAGCATGTATCAGTTCATGTTCTCCACATCTTGTTGTCTAAAGCAGCATGTATCAGTTCATGTTCTGCACATCTTGTTGTCTAAAGCAGCATGTATCAGTTCATGTTCTGACATCTTGTTGTCTAAAGCAGCATGTATCAGTTCATGTTCTGACATCTTGTTGTCTAAAGCAGCATGTATCAGTTCATGTTCTGACATCTTGTTGTCTAAAGCAGCATGTATCAGTTCATGTTCTCTACATCTTGTTGTCTAAAGCAGCATGTATCAGTTCATGTTCTGCACATCTTGTTGTCTAAAGCAGCATGTATCAGTTCATGTTCTGACATCTTGTTGTCTAAAGCAGCATGTATCAGTTCATGTTCTGACATCTTGTTGTCTAAAGCAGCATGTATCAGTTCATGTTCTCCACATCTTGTTGTCTAAAGCAGCATGTATCAGTTCATGTTCTGCACATCTTGTTGTCTAAAGCAGCATGTATCAGTTCATGTTCTGCACATCTTGTTGTCTAAAGCAGCATGTATCAGTTCATGTTCTGCACATCTTGTTGTCTAAAGCAGCATGTTTCAGTTCATGTTCTGACATCTTGTTGTCTAAAGCAGCATGTATCAGTTCATGTTCTGACATCTTGTTGTCTAAAGCAGCATGTATCAGTTCATGTTCTGACATCTTGTTGTCTAAAGCAGCATTGTCTAAAGCAGCATGTATCAGTTCATGTTCTCCACATCTTGTTGTCTAAAGCAGCATGTATCAGTTCATGTTCTGACATCTTGTTGTCTAAAGCAGCATGTATCAGTTCATGTTCTGACATCTTGTTGTCTAAAGCAGCATGTATCAGTTCATGTTCTCCACATCTTGTTGCCTAAAGCAGCATGTATCAGTTCATGTTCTGACATCTTGTTGTCTAAAGCAGCATGTATCAGTTCATGTTCTGACATCTTGTTGTCTAAAGCAGCATGTATCAGTTCATGTTCTCCACATCTTGTTGCCTAAAGCAGCATGTATCAGTTCATGTTCTGCACATCTTGTTGTCTAAAGCAGCATGTATCAGTTCATGTTCTGCACATCTTTCTGTACCATGACAAAAGGCTGTAGAGAATAGTCATACAATCTTTCTTTTTTAGTACTGACTACATTAAGAATGGATTTTGTGTGGCAACGCTTTGACTTCCAGATATTTTCTCTTCTTATAAATAACAATACACATACAATAAAACCTTGTTAACATGAAATCTAGGGGAAAGAAAAATCAAGAGTTCCAATAAATAAAAATTCATGCTAAAGGGGAACTAATACACTCTAATAATATATCTGCATCCCGGCCAGGGAAAACATTTGGTTCATGTTAACTGATTGTTCATCCTGAGTTAGTTTATGTTATGTTAACAAGGTTTTGCTGAAAGGGAAAGGGGGGGGGGGGTGAAGAGGGGATTGTATGCTTCAAGTACTGTCATGAAGGTTTAAATTGCTATTTCTTAAGAATGTTCAGGAAACATTAATTGATTTTATGTAAATTTTCATTGGAAAATGACTTCACTTTTCAAACAATTTAATTAAAAAATAGTGTTTATTAATCAATTATGTCAGACAGCTGAGGCATGTGTGCAACTGAACATGTGTGCAAGTAAACATGTGTGCAGGTGAACATGTATGCAGGTGAACATGTGTGCAAGTGAACATGTGTGCAGGTGAACATGTGTGCAAGTGAACATGTGTGCAGGTGAACATGTGTGCAGGTGAACATGTGAGCAGGTGAACATGTATGCAGGTGAACATGTGTGCAGGTGAACATGTGTGCAAGTGAACATGTGTGCAGGTGAACATGTGTGCAGGTGAACATGTGTGCAAGTGAACATGTGTGCAGGTGAACATGTGTGCAGGTGAACCTGTGTGCAGGTGAACATGTGTGCAGGTGAACATGTGTGCATGTGAACATGTGTGCAAGTGAACATGTGTGCAAGTGAATGTGTGTGCAGGTGAACATGTGTGCAGGTGAACATGTGTGCAAGTGAACATGTGTGCAGGTGAACATGTGTGCAAGTGAACATGTGTGCAGGTGAATATGTGTGCAGGTGAACATGTGTGGAAGTGAACATGTGTGCAGGTGAACATGTGTGCAGGTGAACATGTGTGCAAGTGAATATGTGTGCAGGTGAATATGTGTGCAGGTGAACATGTGTGGAAGTGAACATGTGTGCAGGTGAACATGTGTGCAAGTGAACATGTGTGCAAGTGAACATGTGTGCAGGTGAACATGTGTGCATATGTGAGAATTCCATTAAATTTACTTTTGAGACATTGCAGAATGATTTCTTGCTTGCTTCTCACATTTATGTTAGAGATGTAAATGCACCAAACAGTCTAATTTGAGTAGCTTTTTTAACTTTTATAATTGGATTAGCTAAACAGTGTAGCCTAAGTTTAAAAAAATTATTTCCAGTCGACAAGAGATGCTCGATATAAAGGTACCATGCACAGTAGATCCCCTAATTGTTCATCTATACTGAGAAAAGATTTCATTTCTTTACTCTGAGATTAGGAAAAAGCTATCCTTTCATTTATTAGTGAACAGTTTTGGAGCTAAATAGCTGATGGCATTTGACTGACTGAGGGGTAAACTGAGTGACTGAGGGGTAAACTGAGTGACTGAGGGGTAAACTGACTGACTGAGTGGTAAACTGACTGACTGAGGGGGTAAACATATGCAAACTTGTAATCAGGTTGCAACTGGTACTATTAGCATGTGATGACATTCAGTGCCACCAGGACATCACACCAAGTGATACAACACCCAGTGACACAAAGTGCCACCAGGACATCACACCAAGTGATACAACACCCAGTGACACAAAGTGCCACCAGGACATCACACCAAGTGATACAACACCCAGTGACACAAAGTGCCACCAGGACATCACACCAAGTGATACAACACCCAGTGACACAAAGTGCCACCAGGACATCACACCAAGTGATACAACACCCAGTGACACAAAGTACCACCAGGACATCACACCAAGTGATACAACACCCAGTGACACAAAGTGCCACCAGGACATCACACCAAGTGATACAACACCCAGTGACACAAAGTGCCACCAGGACATCACACCAAGTGATACAACACCCAGTGACACAAAGTGCCACCAGGACATCACACCAAGTGATACAACACCCAGTGACACAAAGTACCACCAGGACATCACACCAAGTGATACAACACCCAGTGACACAAAGTGCCACCAGGACATCACACCAAGTGATACAACACCCAGTGACACAAAGTGCCACCAGGACATCACACCAAGTGATACAACACCCAGTGACACAAAGCGCTACCAGGACATCACACCAAGTGATACAACACCCAGTGACACAAAGTGCCACTAGGACATCACACCAAGTGATACAACACCCGGTGACGCAAAGCGCCACCAGGACATCACATCAAGTGATACAACACCCAGTGATACAAAGTACCACCAGTCAGATGAAGATAACTCAGGATAGGTCCCAGAAACCCCGTTTAGTCCATAGGTTGGTTATATTAGGGCCCCCAGCAACAGCCAGGGTGGGGCTTTAAATCAATAACAAATCATGTCCAACATTGGGATGTAGCTTGTTTGGCTACTAAAGAAGGGGACAGAGCACAGAAATGTCCCAGGTGCAGTGATGTCAATTCTTGATTCATTCAATGCCTGTCGTTAAATCATTATCTTTGAGGACATTCAATACATTGGTCTGCTTTTGTTGTTAAGGATAAATTATCCTTTGAAAACTATTATATTATAATGCATTCAGTAAGATTAAGATATTATTGTTACAGAAAACCAATCTTGTTCATTTACTTGAGACAAAAATTATGTCTACCAAAGGCTACACTCTGGCTGCACGAACCGGACCTCGCCTTGCAAAAGAAGTAGCAGTAAGTACAAATGATTTCAGTTGCATGTGATGGTTCCAATGAAAATGGTTGCCAACTTAGAATGCCAGTGTCTGTGTACAATGCTAGGAGGCATACAATCTATGCCTGTTGTGGAAATACAAAAGTCAGCCAACATCCACCCCTTGGAAGAAAGAAGAAAAGAAAAACAATTCTACATGCTGAAACAAAAATTTGGAGGAGGCCAAACCACTCACTGCATGACAATCTGGCAAACCACTCACTGAATGACAATCTGGCAGTCACGACAACCAGACCCCCCCCCCACCCCTCCCCCCCAAAAAAATGAATAAAGGTTCAAGCTAAACCATCTAAAAAAATAATTAAGAAAGTCGTACTCTTCACTGATAAACCAACAGTGAATACTAGAAAAGTTACTCTATGATTTATGTGACTCAGAATAAGTGGCACTTTTTGTTTTAGCCTCCATCTCCAACTTGGGAGACAACGATTCTGAACCCAGTTTAGTGAAGAAGGCAATCACAATGGAACACCCCAGCAACATGTTCCCACAGGACAATTGGACAAGAATCGACACAGAACTACCCAGAATCAATGCACTAACTGTTTTAACTTCCATCTGAACTTAGGAGACAAAGAAACTGAACCCAATTTAGTAAAGAATTATAAAGACAATTAAAGAACAAAATTCCTTGGACAGCTAAAAAGAGCAACCCAGATGTTTTGAAACAGGCGAGTCTCAAAGACAACTTATCACAACATAAGAAAGAAACAGCTAACATTTTTGTTCATGTTATGAGAAGAGGGAAAATGGAACATGCAAAAAAGAGACAGAGGAAGACAGTGCGAGAAGATTCTTGACAGTCTTTTGCTATGGCATGGAGGGATGTCAACACACGAACTGATACATATGGTTGCGGATCGCGGTCGCAGATTGTGGAGAGGCATAATCGCCTGCGCCAGTCGGCAAAGCACTTGACGATGATGATGCCCTACAGCATCTGCTGAAATCAGAAGGTCTGATTCATAATACCAGTATCATAGTGAATAAAACGCTGATAAAACAAGTTTTCGTTGTTGATTCTCATATTATTTAATTTAAATTCTTCATTCATGGAAGTAAAATGTTGTAAATTCATTGCTGAATCTGCAATAAAGACCTGGTCATCAACAAAGATTACTATTATTTTCGTTCATGGGCTTGGCATCTTTGCTTATACTGTCAATGTAGATAATAAACAGGAGTGCTGATAAGATACATCCCTTTCTTACTCCAGGTGTTACTTTGAATGGTTTGGATGTTCCCTGATTTGTTTTGACTACACTTCTACAATCTCCATAAAAGCTTTTGCTAACTTCAATGAGGTCTTCACTTACTCCATATAGAGCCATCACTTTGTATAATTGTTGCCTATTGACCCTGTCGAAAGCTTTCTCCTGGTCTACAAATGCTACAAATAAGTTCTGATCATATTTGATGCTCTTTTCTATTAACTGTTTAAATGTGAAGATTGTATCTTTGCAGCTTCTATTTCTTTTGAAACCCATGTGTTCTTCTATCAACTATGGATCTATCACTCGTCGCAGCCTTGTTTCTATTTTCCCAACATGACTTAAAAAAAGAGAGATGCCTTGATATTGATTGCATTCTCGCTTGCTTCCCTTGTTCTTCCACAATGATACAACAGTTGCATGTTGCCAGTCAATAGGAGCAGTTTGTTGTACCCATGCCGCATTGACTATTCTGTGAAGCCATCTAATGTTGCTTTCACCTGCTGCTTGGATTATTTCTGTTGGTAATCTATCAGCTCCTGGTGCTTTATATTTGTGTGACTGCTTGATGACTCTAACTACTTCAGTAATGAATATATCAGGTTCTAGCATCTAGCACTAGTATCAACAGTTATAGGTCAAGAATATGGATTAGGGAGACGAAGACACCCAAAAGAACATTGACCAGAGAGGCCAAAGCTGCTGAGCTGGATTCCATCCATGATATTGAAATGATTGCACAGGTTAGAGCCGAATGGAGGAATAGACTGCCAGATCTATGTGATATATAATAGCCCAACAGGATAGAGCGGAATGGAGGAATAGACTGCCAGATCTATGTGATATAGAATAGCCCAACAGGATAGAGCGGAATGGAGGAATAGACTGCCAGATCTATGTGATATAGAATAGTCCAACAGGATAGAGCGGAATGGAGGAATAGACTGCCAGATCTATGTGATATAGAATAGCCCAACAGGATAGAGCCGAATGGAGGAATAGACTGCCAGATCTATGTGATATATAATAGCCCAACAGGATAGAGCGGAATGGAGGAATAGATTGCCAGATCTATGTGATATAGAATAGCCCAACAGGATAGAGCGGAATGGAGGAATAGACTGCCAGATCTATGTGATATAGTATAGCCCAACAGGATAGAGCTGAATGGAGGAATAGACTGCCAGATCTATGTGATATAGAATAGCCCAACAAGATAGAGCCGAATGGAGGAATAGACTGCCAGATCTATGTGATATAGAATAGCCCAACAGGATAGAGCGGAATGGAGGAATAGACTGCCAGATCTATGTGATATAGAATAGCCCAACAGGATAGAGCCGAATGGAGGAATAGACTGCCAGATCTATGTGATATAGAATAGCCCAACAGGATAGAGCCGAATGGAGGAATAGACTGCCAGATCTATGTGATATAGAATAGCCCAACAGGATAGAGCGGAATGGAGGAATAGACTGCCAGATCTATGTGATATAGAATAGCCCAACAGGATAGAGCCGAATGGAGGAATAGACTGCCAGATCTATGTGATATAGAATAGCGCAACAGGATAGAGCCGAATGGAGGAATAGACTGCCAGATCTAATGGAGTAATAGACTGCCAGATCTATGTGATATAGAATAGCGCAACAGGATAGAGCCGAATGGAGGAATAGACTGCCAGATCTATGTGATATAGAATAGCCCAACAGGATAGAGCGGAATGGAGGAATAGACTGCCAGATCTATGTGATATAGAATAGCCCAACAGGATAGAGCGGAATGGAGGAATAGACTGCCAGATCTATGTGATATAGAATAGCCCAACAGGATAGAGCCGAATGGAGGAATAGACTGCTAGATCTATGTGATATAGAATAGTCCAACAGGATGGAGCCGAATGGAGGAATAGACTGCCAGATCTATGTGATATAGAATAGCCCAACAGGATAGAGCGGAATGGAGGAATAGACTGCCAGATCTAATGGAGGAATAGACCGCCAGATCTAATGGAGGAATAGACTGCCAGATCTATGTGATATAGAATAGCCCAACAGGATAGAGCCGAATGGAGGAATAGACTGCCAGATCTATGTGATATAGAATAGCCCAACAGGATAGAGCCGAATGGAGGAATAGACTGCCAGATCTATGTGATATAGAATAGCGCAACAGGATAGAGCCGAATGGAGGAATAGACTGCCAGATCTATGTGATATAGAATAGCCCAACAGGATAGAGCGGAATGGAGGAATAGACTGCCAGATCTAATGGAGGAACAGACTGCCAGATCTATGTGATATAGAATAGCGCAACAGGATAGAGCCGAATGGAGGAATAGACTGCCAGATCTAATGGAGTAATAGACTGCCAGATCTATGTGATATAGAATAGCGCAACAGGATAGAGCCGAATGGAGGAATAGACTGCCAGATCTATGTGATATAGAATAGCCCAACAGGATAGAGCGGAATGAAGGAATAGACTGCCAGATCTATGTGATATAGAATAGCCTAACAGGATAGAGCGGAATGGAGGAATAGACTGCCAGATCTATGTGATATAGAATAGCGCAACAGGATAGAGCGGAATGGAGGAATAGACTGCCAGATCTATGTGATATAGAATAGCGCAACAGGATAATAAATCAATGATGAACTGTAATAATAAATAATAGCTCGAAGTTGCATTATCCCATAGATCGACGTTTGTCACTCTATTTTTTGGGTGTAAGGGGGGTGGGGGGGATGGGGTGGGGCATTTTTGTTTGAAAAAGGATATAAACTCCGGCCACATACAAGTCGATCAAATGAAAATCAAACGATATATAAGTACTTTGGTGCAAACTTCAACTGCTCCAACATGCTGAGAGAAGAAATACAATCTATAATGCAATCTGGAAATAAAGTATGCTATGCCCTTCTTGAATTTAAAGAAAATGAACATAATGTCCACAGATAAAAATGGCTGTCACCCAAAAAACAATAAATGATGAAGAAATTGAAAATGTCACAAACTTTGAATATCTAGGCTCTATAATAAACAACGATGGAGACTGTTCGACAGAAATTAAAAGGAGGATGGCCATAGCAATGCAAAGATTGAACAGCCTTAAAAGACTATAGTTAAGCACCAGCAAGGAGATAAAAATTAGAATTTTGAGAGCATGCATCTTCCCTGTGGCTACACACGGATGTGAGTCGTGGACTATCTCTCATTCCTTAAGAAAGAGAATAGGGGTTTTTGAGCTGAAATGCTATAGAAAGATTCTCAGAATATCTTGGACAAAGAAGATGAGAAATATTGACATCTTAAAAGATCTGAACATCAAGGAGGATTGGCTAATAAACAGCATCCTTTCTCGAAGGCTGAAGTATTTTGGTCATATCAAGCGCTACAACAGATTGGAAAAAATTATAGCAGAAGGCATGGTACCAGGAAGGAGGGGCAGGGGCCAACTGACACAAAGATGGGCACAGGATATAAGTGAATCCTTGAGTGTGAAAGTTCATTAGGCGGTAGAAGTGGCGAGAGACTGAGTTTCTTTCAGGCAGACTGTGATGAGACCGACGTTCTGCAAAGGACCTGCTACATGATGAGATGCCCTGCAAGATCTGCTAAAGTCACAGTGTCTGTCTCAGAACAACAGGATAAAAATGTATAAAACGTTATTAAGACCAGTCGTGTTATATTGCTCTGAAACTTGGAGCACAACTAAAAGAAATGAAGGTTTTCGAAAACAGAGTTTTACGACCAATCTTTGGACCAATCAAAGATGCAAACAGCGGTGAATGGAGAGTGAGAAGCAACAACAAATTCATAATCTGTTTAAATCACCACTGATCACTGGCATCATGGGAGCTAATAGACTGAAATGGTGGGGGCATATTAAAAGAATGTCATTTGACAGAGAAGTAAAAACTGTATTCAAGAGGGAGTGGAAGATGAATGGCTGTAGACCACTAGGCAGACCAAGAAGATTATGGAGAGATAATATCCAATCAGACCTGCCCACGAGGCAGACCAAGAAGATGGAGAGATAATATCCAAACAGACCTGCCAACACTTGGTATCATCAACTGGATAGAGAAAGTCAACCAGAGAGATGAATTGAGGCGGGTGATATCTGCAGCAATGAACCTCAAGGGCTCGGAATGCTGAAGAAGAATAAGAAGAAGAAACACAATGTCAGCAAAAAAAAAAACTTTCTTATGAAATTTGCTTTGGTTGACAGAGGTATCTTTCTATGGGTCAGAAGCGGTGTTTATTGTCCAATAACCTGATTGGCTTTCGCACATCGTATGTTGATTTCTCTATCCGTTCTTCCATCTTACGTGACAAATGACCCTAGTTTGTTTTATTTCTGTGTTATTGACTTTAATTGATATGGTTTCTTCCTGTCTAATACAATGTAGTATACTACTGTATTTATTGATTTATACTTGATCCTATCAATCATTTAGATGGTATGTGCCATTTTACAATAGTTAAACAAACAGTGATGACAATGAGGTGCTTCAGCTAGGGCAATGAGCTTCTACTGTTAGAGTGATGTCTTTATGAGATGATAAGGATTACGAACACAAATGAAGCACATAACTTTTGGTTCAAGAAAATAAGCCCTCAGCCCTCAATGTGAGCCTCTGCCTATCTGTTCTCAGCCTGCCGAGCTGGCAACACAATGTAGGTTCCTACACTGGACCATCTGCTTAGGAAGAGTGCTGTCTGGTCCTAGCCCCTTACAGAAACTAGGAAAATTCCAACTATTTGCCAAATAAGAATCACAAAGCTAGGATGACCTCCTACAGTAGATCTTGACTTATGGCATGATGGCAGCAGTCTCAATTGAATTCAAGACCCTTTATTATATTAATTCCCCCCTCCCCCACTTCAATTAGCAGATTTAAGCTCCTCTCCTTTTCTGTACCTAACTCAAGGTCGAATCTGGGTTTCCAGCATAACATTTGTTGTGTGCATATTACTAGAAACCGACTGATTGAAATATGAAAATGCGGTGTAAAGGATAGTGTTTTTCCCTCAAGAATTTGAAATTTTTGCAATTGCGTAGTACCAAGTATTGATTGATGCAGTTTATTACTTGAAAAGTTGGGGCAGAATGACACTGGTTCCCCTTCCCCTTCTTCAATTTTACTGTTTTTATTCATCATGTAACGCTCATCTATTTAATAACAGTTATAAAATTTGTAGTGCTTTTCCAACCTTTTCTTGATGACAAAACCTTTTCCTAGTTTATGTTTATTTTGACTGTTTTTCAAGTGTTGGTAAAAGGAAAAAAAAAAAGATCCTTGGTCATTTAACTTCTGAGCTAATGTATAGATACAACTATTTAGTGATACATTTAAAACAGAATTATTGTAATTTTTTTCAGATACAATGTCTTTACTAATAATTTAATAATTAAATTACTTAAAAAAAATTGTTATTATTTAAATTAATTCCAAATGAAAACATACATTTTACTCTGCAGTTCCAAACCCCTTGTCCAACAGAATACCAGAGGCATTACCATGATCCTAAAAATTCTCAAGAATCCAAGAAGCCGTTTCAGACTGGAGCAGATAGATTCACCATGTCTAAGAAGGACATTATCAATGCAGTTCCCGGGTGAGATGCAAATTATCATCATCATTCATGTGCTCTGCCGAGAAGTGCAGCAGACTGTGTTCTTTTACAAACAGTTATCCCCTATGTTTTTATATGTTTAATTACAGATACTGAAAACGCATCTATAATTGTCCTCCTCTGTCAGTCCCTGTCTTTCATATATTTATTCTGGTGATATACCTGAGCTGGACATGAACTCCAGGACAGAGAGTTTATGCTAAATATATTTATTAGTACAAAGAACCTGAAATTGAAAGGAGCGAAGAGCTAAGTTCCATCCACTAGAATAACAATAGGTTTCCTGGCTGACGTTGACTCGAGATAATGTCATGTTTGCATTCTCGGAAGGCTGTTTGTGACTTCAAAAGTATCAAGAATGTGTGGTGATGTTATTAAAAAGATTTGAGTTTTTCCCCTCTGGCATTCAAAAAGTCAGGTAAGATTGGCAATTACAAGATCATTTGACAAATGTGCAGCAACAAGCCATGTTGGGATTCTAGGCAGGAAAACTGCTGACTTTGGATGCTAGTGAAGTTTGATATATTAGACTATCATTTTAGTCAGCATTTTAACTTAATAACAGAAAACAGCCATGATGGGTAAGCATTTTAACGTAATTACAAGATGGCCTCCCAAAACAGTTCAAGACTCACATTCACAAGGCCCTATATGCAGATGACCTGACCATATTGACCCATGCTGAACAGATAGGAACAAGTGAAACAAGAATGCAGACAGCTTTAAATACAGTTAAGAAATGGACAGACTCTTGGGGAGTCACAACAAACCGGACCAAAGCCATCTGAACTCTTTTTTCTCTTTCCACAAAGCTAGAACAAGTTGATCTGTACCTAGAAGGCAACATCCTTCCAAAAGAGGACAATGCCACATATAAAAAAAAGAGTAAAATTTGACACAAGGCTAACATGGGGCTCCCACAATAAAGACACCCAAAGAAAAGCTACCCTGCGACTCAGACTTATGAAGAAACTTACTGGAACAAGCAGGGGCGATTGGCAAACTGAGGATAGGTTTCACCATACAATTTTTTTTCATTTCTAATTTGTGGCTGTAAGTGGCAGCATTCATTTCAAAATGTTTCACCAAAGCCTGATACAAAGCTTCAAAATCAGTCTCTGTACCAGTAGGCATTCTCTCATATAGTTAATATGCCTCTCAAACCCTGAGCCAACTTCAAAGTGTCCATGTCTTTCTGTAGATTATATAAAGGAGCAAGGTTACTGAACTTATCAATGCACTATTAGATTTTTTCCAATTTCGGGTTGAAATAGGGAAATCCATAGCTTGAATTGAGATGCTGTATGCTGAAGCAGTTTCTATCTCTTGCATTTGGGATCTGGGTCTATGTCCTTCTGGCTGTGCCTGAAGCTCTAATTTCCTAAACTTCTGTGTCTATCTCTATTTGCAGTCCGATTCATGTTCCTTTTGTAATCTCATCTGTTCAGATTCTTGTTCTATAATGATCTGTTCAAATTTCTTCTCAAAATACAACAGGAATACAAATCAAAAACAACCACTGGATCAACAAATAATTAACAAGAATTGACCCTCAGTGGTCACAACTGTGTTAACAAACCTGTACAAATAATGAACGATCTCCTAGTCAAGGATACCTGCTATATGAGGATTGCAAAGAATTAAATCCCGGAAGCGAGACCAAACTTTTTATATACAATATACAATAGTGTCGAGTGTCTTTATTAGGGTTATTCTTCACTCAATAATAGAATAACTCTTTCCTCACCACTTGTTAGCTCCCAGACTTCAGCTCACTCACCACTTGTTAGCCCCCAGACTTCCTCACTACTTGTTAGCTCCCAGACTTCCTCACTACTTGTTAGCCACCAGACTTCCTCACTACTTGTTAGCCCCCAGTCTTCCTCACCACTTGTTAGCTCCCAGACTTCCTCACTCACCACTTGTTAGCCCCCAGACTTCCTCACTACTTGTTAGCTCCCAGACTTCCTCACTACTTGTTAGCCCCCAGACTTCATCAGTAACTACATGTTAGCCCCCAGACTTCCTCACTCACCACTTGTTAGCCCCAAGACTTCCTCACTACTTGTTAGCCCCCAGACTTCCTCACTACTTGTTAGCTCCCAGACTTCCTCACTACTTGTTAGCTCCCAGACTTCCTCACTACTTGTTAGCCCCCAGACTTCCTCACTACTTGTTAGCTCCCAGACTTCCACTCTTGTTAGCTCCCAGACTACTTTGTTAGCTCCCAGACTTCCTCACTACTTGTTAGCCCCCAGACTTCCTCCTCACTACTTGTTAGCTCCCAGACTTCCTCCTCACTACTTGTTAGCCCCCAGACTTCCTCACTACTTGTTAGCCCCCAGACTTCCTCCTCACTACTTGTTAGCCCCCAGACTTCCTCCTCACCACTTGTTAGCTCCCAGACTTCCTCACTACTTGTTAGCCCCCAGACTTCCTCACTACTTGTTAGCTCCCAGACTTCCTCACTACTTGTTAGCCCCCAGACTTCCTCACTACTTGTTAGCCCCCAGAATTCGTCAGTCACTACTTGTTAGCCCCCAGACTTCCCTCACTTGTTAGCTCCCAGACTTCCTCACCACTTGTTAGCTCCCAGACTTCCTCACCACTTGTTAGCTCCCAGACTTCCTCACCACTTGTTAGCTCCCAGACTTCCTCACCACTTGTTAGCCCCCAGACTTCCTCACTACTTGTTAGCCCCCAGACTTCCTCCTCACTACTTGTTAGCTCCCAGACTTCCTCCTCACCACTTGTTAGCTCCCAGACTTCCTCACCACTTGTTAGCTCCCAGACTTCCTCACCACTTGTTAGCTCCCAGACTTCCTCACCACTTGTTAGCCCCCAGACTTCCTCACCACTTGTTAGCTCCCAGACTTCCTCACCACTTGTTAGCCCCCAGACTTCCTCACCACTTGTTAGCTCCCAGACTTCCTCACCACTTGTTAGCTCCCAGACTTCCTCACTTTGTTAGCTCCCAGACTTCCTCCTCACTTGTTAGCTTGTTAGCTCCCAGACTTCCTCACCACTTGTTAGCTCCCAGACTTCCTCACCACTTGTTAGCTCCCAGACTTCCTCACTACTTGTTAGCCCCCAGACTTCCTCCTCACCACTTGTTAGCCCCCAGACTTCCTCACCACTTGTTAGCTCCCAGACTTCCTCACCACTTGTTGTTAGCTCCCAGACTTTCCTCACCACTTGTTAGCTCCCAGACTTCCTCACCACTTGTTAGCCCCCAGACTTCACCACTTGTTAGCTCCAAGACCCTCACCACTGTTAGCCCCCAGACTTCCTCCTCACCACTTGTTAGCTCCCAGACTTCCTCACCACTTGTTAGCCCCCAGACTTTCCTCCACTTGTTAGCTCCACTTGTTAGCCCCCCAGACTTCCTCACCACTTGTTAGCCCCCAGACTTCCTCCTCCTCAGCCCCCAGACTTGTTAGCCCCCAGACTTCCTCCTCACCACTTGTTAGCCCCCAGACTTCCTCCTCACTACTTGTTAGCCCCCAGACTTCCTCCTCACTACTTGTTAGCCCCCAGACTTCCTCCTCACCACTTGTTAGCCCCCAGACTTCCTCCTCACCACTTGTTAGCCCCCAGACTTCCTCCTCACCACTTGTTAGCCCCCAGACTTCCTCCTCACCACTTGTTAGCCCCCAGACTTCCTCCTCACTACTTGTTAGCCCCCAGACTTCCTCCTCACCACTTGTTAGCCCCCAGACTTCCTCCTCACCACTTGTTAGCCCCCAGACTTCCTCCTCACTACTTGTTAGCCCCCAGACTTCCTCCTCACCACTTGTTAGCCCCCAGACTTCCTCACTCACTACTTGTTAGCCCCCAGACTTCCTCCTCACTTTAGCCCCCAGACTTCCTCCTCACTACTTGTTAGCTCCCAGACTTCCTCCACTCACCCCACTTGTTAGCCCCCAGACTCCTCACCACTTGTTAGCCCCCAGACTTCCTCCTCACCACTTGTTAGCCCCCAGACTTCCTCCTCACTACTTGTTAACCCCCAGACTTCCTCCTCACCACTTGTTAGCTCCCAGTCTTCCTCACCACTTGTTAGCTCCCAGACTTCCTCACTACTTGTTAGCCCCCAGACTTCCTCCTCACTACTTGTTAGCTCCCAGACTTCCTCCTCACCACTTGTTAGCTCCCAGACTTCCTCCTCACCACTTGTTAGCTCCCAGACTTCCTCACCACTTGTTAGCTCCCAGACTTCCTCACCACTTGTTAGCTCCCAGACTTCCTCCTCACCACTTGTTAGCTCCCAGACTTCCTCCTCACTACTTGTTAGCTCCCAGACTTCCTCCTCACCACTTGTTAGCTCCCAGACTTCCTCACCACTTGTTAGCTCCCAGACTTCCTCACCACTTGTTAGCTCCCAGACTTCCTCACCACTTGTTAGCCCCCAGACTTCCTCACTACTTGTTAGCCCCCAGACTTCCTCCTCACTACTTGTTAGCCCCCAGACTTCCTCCTCACCACTTGTTAGCCCCAGACTTCCTCCTCACCACTTGTTAGCTCCCCAGACTTCCTCACACACTTGTTAGCCCCCAGACTTCCTCACACCACTTGTTAGCCCCCAGACTTCCTCACTACTTGTTAGCCCCCAGACTTCCTCACCACTTGTTAGCCCCCAGACTTCCTCCTCACCACTTGTTAGCCCCCAGACTTCCTCCTCACCACTTGTTAGCCCCCAGACTTCCTCCTCACCACTTGTTAGCCCCCAGACTTCCTCCTCACCACTTGTTAGCCCCCAGACTTCCTCCTCACCACTTGTTAGCCCCCAGACTTCCTCCTCACTACTTGTTAGCCCCCAGACTTCCTCCTCACTACTTGTTAGCCCCCAGACTTCCTCCTCACCACTTGTTAGCCCCCAGACTTCCTCCTCACTACTTGTTAGCCCCAGACTTCCTCCTCACCACTTGTTACTCCCAGACTTCCTCCTCACTACTTGTTAGCCCCCAGACTTCCTCCTCACT